CATAAATGAATGTGTGTCTCATAACCTTGTACAGTTTGTGTAGCCTAATAAATTCTTCCAATGTTGTCATAGAAGTGGAAAATCATCATGTGATTCTCCTATTGCTGGTCAAGATACCATTGTGCAAATATGCATTTTTCCCTCAAGTGGTAAGATTACTGCAATCTTTGTACGAGTAAAGCACTTAAATTTATAGTGGTAGCTTTGTTAAAACTGCAATGTTTGCGCATTCCTCTGTGTGTCCGTCTTCAGTTCTACCCCTGAAATGAGGTAACTGTTAACTCTCTCATCAGTAAACTAACTTAATGGTCTTCATGTGGCTATCACGGAAAATGAACTACTGTTTTTATGGCCAATTCTTTGTCCCAGTCCTACTGGGGTCCTTTTTTTGATACATAGATAACTATCTTTGCTGTTACCTGCTCTCACCATGTATTGGAAAACTTCATCAACTTGCTTCCAAGTTCCATCCTTCCATCACTTTTACAAAATCCATCGCTGATTCTTCCCTCCCTATCCCTTCCCACTGTCTCTCCATTTCCCTTTGTTTAGGCTGACCATAAATTTTTGTTATATAAAAACCGAAAGAAACTGCAGATGACGTAAATCAGAGACAAAAACAGAAATTGCTGGAAACGCTCAGCAGGTCTGGCAGCACTTTTGGAGAGAAATCGGAGTCAACATTTCAGGTCGAGTCACCCTTCCTCAGAAGAGTTCACTTGACCCAAAACATTGACTCTGCCTCAAACTTCATTGCATGTGCACTGACTCCTAAAGCTATCTTAACTGCACCCTCTCTCATCCGATAATGGTTTTATTCTATTTTTCCAGTTTCTGCAACTCCATCGCATCCTGGAGTTTCCCAGTGGCCAGAAACTACGTGGCCAGAAACTAAACTGGATGAGCCATACAAAAACAGTGGCTACAAGAGCAGGTCAGAAGCTAGGAACCCCACAGCAAGTAACTCAGCTCCTGACTCCCCAAAGCCTGTCCATCAATTACAAGTCACAAGTCAGGAGTGTGATGGAATACTTCCCACTTGCCTGGATGGGTGCAGCTCCAAAAACACTCAAGAAACTCGACTCCATCTGGGACAAAGCATCCTGCTTGGTTGGTACCACTTCTACAAATAACCACTCCCTCTATTACCAATAATCAGTGGCAGCGGTATGTACCAGCTACAAGATGCATTGTTGAAATTCACTGACTGTCTTTAGAAATACCTTCCAAATCCACAAACTTGACCATCTAGTCGGTCCAGGGCAGCAGATATATGGGAACAGCACCAAGTTCTCCTCTGAGCCACTCACCATCCTGATTTGGAAGTACATTATTGTTCCTTCAGTATTGCTGGGTCAAAAGTGAGTGAATTTTAAAAATCTGTTCCAATGATGCAATCTTCCAATTCTCTGTCACTTCTTCACTTTCCTCATCCACAGTGAAGGACAGGGCCCTCACCCACATCTAGCCCATTTCAATTTCAATTCTCACCCCTTTCCCTCTCTCCCAGAACCATGAAAGGATTCCCATTATCCTCACCTTCTAACCCAACCAGCCTTTGCATTCAATGAATCATTCTTCACTATTTCAGCCACCTCCAGCAGAATGCTACCATCAAACACATCTTCCCTTCCCCTCCATGTCTTGATTGTACTCAATACCTATATTCCCTTCCCACCACACCTTCCCGTGCAAACATAGGAGTATAGTGTATGAGTGGTGCAGATACACAGTTTAAAATGTGCTTTCCCTTTACAGTAGTATTTCTTGCAAATTGTCCTGATGAGTGCAAGACAAAAAGCTTTGACAAAATGTGTCTTTTTCAAATGTTATACTATCAGATGACTAAGTATTTATTATAGGGGTTAGGGATTTGGTTTATGAAGAAATGTTGAACAGGGTAGGCCTATACTCATCGGTGTTTAGATGAATGAGAGGTGATCTTATCAAAGCACATAACACTCTGAGGGAACCTGAAAGAGTCGAAACTGAGAGGGTGTTTTTCCTTCTTGTGAGGTATCTAGAACTGACAGGCTCAATTTCAAAAGATGGTGTCCTCTAGTCAAGAACGAGTTGAGGAAGAAATTTGTCTCTGAGGGTCATATATGTTTGAAACTCTCTTCCGCAGAGAGCAGTGGAGGCTGGATTGAGGAATGCATTCAAGGCGGAATGAGGAAGAGTTTCAACTGACAGGTTAGTGGTGGAGGGGTGCAGGAAACTGGAGTTGAAGCCATGATCATATTGAATGGTGCAGCAAGCATCAGGCACTGAAAAGTCTATTCCTGCTTGGAATTCTTATATTCTTATGAAAACAAGGAACATTGAGACGATAGGGGGATTTTATTTTCACAGAGGGTTGTTCAGCTCTGGAATTGTGGAATAACCTATCAGAAACAGCAATGGTAATAAAATGCTTTGCAACATTTAGAAACTAAGTGATATTCAAAAACAAAGAATTTAAGAGGGTATAAGGGAAAGATAGGGAAATAGGATAAAGTGGATATCTCTTTATCAAAGTTCAAATGCAATGGCACACATATGACCTCCTCTTCTGTTGTAAAATGTTATGACTCTCTGTCATTAATCAACTACCATCTCACAATTCCGATGCCGTTGTCAATGACAATTACCAATTTTGTAAGAAAAACACCTGCTATCTAATTAAGAAAAGGATGTGCATTTACATAGAGCCTTTTACAACTGCTGAAAGCCAATGAGGTAATGGCCACAGGTATAAAGTTGGGGAACGTTGCAGCTGATTTTGCGTGGTATGCTCCCACACACAGAAATGCGATCACAACAGGATAATCTGATTTAGTGATAAAAACAGAGAATGCCAGAGAAAGCCAATAGGTTTGGCAGCAGCTGTGGAGAGAGTAACAGGCTCTTCTTTGGAACTGGTTTTAGTGATGCTGTGTGCGGGATATAGAACAGAATCTCTAAGGTGGGGAAGCAGGCTTTTCAGCCCATACCAATCTTCTGAAAAGCATCCCACCCAGACCCAGGAACAAAAACAGAAGCTGCCGGAAAAGCTCAGCAGGTCTGCCAGCATTTGTGAAGAAAAAATCAGAGTTAACGTTTCGGGTCCAGTGACCCTTCCTCAGAACTGATGGTAGCTGGGCAAAGGTTGGTTTATATGCAGAAAATAGGGAGGGAGATGGGGTAGGGAGTAAACGATAGGATAGAGCCCAAAGAGATCTGGCTAGGGGGTGAATAGTTGTTAATGGGACTGTTAGTGACTAACAATAGGTCGTGTGTAATGGCGGGCTATGTGGTAACAAGGACATGGGAGAGTTTAAGCCCTAAAATTATTGATATTGGGTCCGGAGGGCTGTAGGGTTCCCAGGTGGAAAATGAGGTGTTGTTCCTCCAGCTTGCATTGAGCTTCGCTAGAACACTGCAGCAAGCCAGAAACAGAGATGTTGGCCAGGGAGCAGGGTGGTGTGTTAAAGTGGCAGGCAACAGGTAGTTCAGCGTCTCGGCCCGAGACGTCAGCCTTCCTGCTCCTCTGATGCTGCTTGGCCTGCTGTGTTCATCCAGCTCTACACCTTGTTATCTCAGGTAGTTCAGGGTCTTTTTTGCGAGCAGAACATAGATGTTCCACAAAGCGGTCGCCAATCTATGCTTTGTTTCCCCAGTGTAGACGAGACCACATTGTGAGCAGTGAATGCAGTAGATTAGATTGTGGAAAGTCCAGGTGAAGTATTGCTTCACCTGGAAGGTATGTTTGGGCCCTTGGATACTGGGGAGGGAGGAGGTAAATGGGCAGGTGTTACACCACCCAGACCCATCCCCATACCTGATAACTCTGCATTTCCCTGTACATCCCTTGGCACTATGCACAATTTCCCATGGCTAATCCACCTGACATGCACATCTTTGGACTGGCCCACCCAGACACAGGGAGAATATGCAAACTCCACACAGACAGTTGCCCAAGGCTAGAATCATACATGGGTCCCTCGCGCCATGAGGCAGCAATGCTAACCACTGAGCCAATGTTGTCCCATCAGATCTCCAGGGTGAGCTGTCCTGCTTTCAGAGTAGGGCCATGAAATCTTTCCCATCCACCTGAGAGGGTGACAGCCCCTCTGTTTGGTGTCACATCCAAACGGTGTATTTTATTTCTAAAGCACACAGTCAACTGAAAATATTTACATTAGGGGGGAGAGGGTGGGCCTTGTTAGTGAAGCCAGGCATTTCGTCCACACCAGGCCTATTTTATTAAAGACAATTTGAATATGGAGAGGGAACGGAATGGTTGAACATGTGAAAGGATTGACGTGCCTTTGCTTTTGACAATTAATATATTTGCATATACACGAGAAAAATACTGGCGATGTTGGAAATCTGAAATAAAAACCAGAAAATATTAGAAACCTTCAGCGTTCACGAGGAGAGCTGCAGAATTAACGCTCAGGGACTATGACCCTTCATCATGCGTTTCCAACATTTTCTCTTTTAATTACATTCGTACAGCTCCTTATCACCTCTCTCAGCAGCTTCTCGATCATTTCTGGTATAATGAGATATTTGGCAATGCAGAGGGTTCAGGCACTGGTCTTTTTAAAGGTACCAGCTTTGGTTGTCCTTTGAAACTCAAATCAAATGTTCCACCTTTGCAAAGGTCAAAATATTGTGTTACTTTATTTTACACGGAGAGTTGTCTCCCTGCTGGTGTCATTAAAGCAAGATATGCAATATTGAAACAGGGTGGGGGATTGATCAAGGCTGGAAATACTCAACAGGTCCGACTGCCAAATTTCTGAGCCCTCTGTTCAGAACCATCTTCAATTTAATTAGCACCCTGATCTCTGCAAGTTTGTCAAGGAGAGGAGACAGATGCTACAAATATTTTTTGTGGGAATATGGAAAGGGGAGTAAATCGATGCGTGTGGCAAAATGGGCACTGAGACCCTGCGGATTCCCGTGGACTCCTATCAATGCAGGAGGTGGAGTCTGTAGCATGAAGCGTGGAGATGATGCTGGCGAGAGAGAGAGAGCAGTGCGAGATTTTCAGGGAGCGCACGAAGTAGCATGTTCTCTGGATGCAACCTTTGCAGAATCCCCTGCCTGAGGAAGAAAGAGCCTAATGGAAGGGTCTAAGTAGAGAGAGAGATGAGATTACAATCCCACAGCAGAGCAGCAGAATGAAGAAGCTGGTGGTAATGTGTAATTTGCATATGGAGATTTTACAAATATATATCTCGCTGTTGACTGTTTGTTGTTACTTGTTTGTTGAAAGGCTAGTTAAACTGTAGATATTGCAGCATGCAGACGGTGTTATATTGAGAAATGCAAATTAAACTTTCGATAACCGTTACAACGTTGTACAACAAATAGACCTCGATCTTGAAACTCACTTTGCATGTCTTTCTTATTGTTGTTCCCGCACGTGTGGCAAACTGTGCAATTTCTCTCTTTTATCCTCTTGCGAAGATCCTCTTATTGTGTGTGTGTGCCCGTTTTGTGCAGAGGCATCTCCTCGGAGTGTTTGTGGGTATTTCCACTTGTGGAACCCTGCTGGTTCTCTATGCATCGTCCAGCGATCTCAGAGCTGGTCCCTGGGTGTCGTTCAGTGCAGAGACCAGGAAGAGGAGAGATACAGACAGGAGTCCGGAGCCCTCCTCACTGCCACTGCTGAAGGGATATATCAATTTCAGAGACCATAAGGTAAGAGGTTGCAGGAGATCAGCAGCTGGCCACTGGCCTCCCTCTCGCTCTTTCTCTCTCTTTGTCATGTCCAGTCACATTATATTTAGTTAATAATTGGGTTAATCCAAATTGCAGTTCCTGTGCACTAGTGAAGTTGGAGCAGGGGAGACTGATATGGAGAGATTTAAGGAGTGGAGTGAATGCAGAGTGGCTAAGGAGAGATGATTCCAGTTGGCAGCAGGGTGGATAAGCACGGGACACTGGAGAACTGTAAGGGCTTTTTGTTAAAACAAAAAGACTGTAGGCATTGGCTGTGATGTGAACGCACTGCCTAAAAGGGCAGTGGAGGCAGATTCAGTGGGAACTTGTAAAGTTGAAAAGGAAACATTCTTTTACAGGGCAGTTGGGGGGGCAGTGGGGTAAGACAGGGCACAAGGAGCTAGTTGTAAGTGGGGCTGGATTCTATTGTAAGACCTTAGTGTGACCAGGTGCCCAGGAAGGGGTAGGCGTTTATAGGGAGACCCCGTGTCATCACCAGAGCTGTGTTGTTCAGATACAATGTCAGGAAGCATTTCTTCACACAGAATGTGCTGGAGAGCTGCAGTTGACTCACTTCAAACTCGCTTGAGGCTGCAAGGGAAGAGAAAGTAGGATGTATTAGTGTCTACCTAAATCAGGGCGGCACAGTGGCTCAGTGGCTAGCATTGCCACCCTCATGGTACCAGGGACCTGGGTTCAATGCCAACCTCAGGTGACTGTCTGTGTGGAGTTTGCATGTTATCCCTGTGTCTGTGTGGGCTTCCCCTCACAGTCCAAAGCTGTGCAGGTTAGGTGGATTGGCCACGCTGAAGTGTGTCCAGGGATGTGCAGGCTCGGTGGGTTAGCTATGGGGTAATGTCGGGGCGTGGGTGGTTGTCTGGGTGGAATGCTCTTTGGACTTGATGTGTTCCCACACAGTAGGGATTCTAAGATGGCAGTGCATCTTCATTCTCTTCTGCCAAGGTGCTACAGATATCAAAGTCGATTATGGCATACAGTGAGTGATCCTTTTATGACAATGCTGAGAGGGATCGTTTCTCTTAGGTGGTGGTTTCTTGGTCCATTTCTCAGTGGGTTGGTGTTGTCTTTCCCAGTCTACACTCTCTATCTCAACCTCCCCTCTCACCCGCTGTATCTACTCCATGAGCACTCTGTCCTGGTCACACTTCTGGGCACAAAATTGTGGCTCATTCCCCAGTAATGAGATACCAATGACGCATCTGGCTAGCTTTCTTTTTGTGATGTTTGTCGAGGAAAGAATATTGGCCAGAACACTGGGAAGACATTTTTGGTGCCCATCTGAGAGAGTAGCCAGGGCCTCAGTTCAACATCTCCAGTGAAGGATGACATCTCCAGTGTAAGACAGGGTGTTGTTGGGACTGGAGGGTTTGAGCTACAGGGAGAGGCTGAATGGGCTGGGGCTATTTTCCCTGGAGCATCAGAGGCTGAGGGGTAACCTTATAGAGGTTTATGAAATCATAAGGGGCATGGATAGGGTAAATAGACAAGGCCTTTTCCTCGGGATAGGGGAGTCCTGAACTAGAGGGCATTGGTTTAAAGTGAGAAGGGAAAGATTTAAAATGGACCTGAGGAGGCAACTCTTTCATGCAGAGGGTGTTGTGTGTATGGAATCAGCTGCCAGAGGAAGTGGTGGAAGCTGGTACAATTACAATATTTAAAAGGCATGTGGATGGGTACATGAATAGGAAGGATTTGGATGGATATGGGCCAAATGTTGGCAAATGGGACTGGATTAATTTAGGATATGTGGATGGCATGGACAAGTTGGACCGAAGAATCTGTTTCCATGCTGTACAGCTCAATGACTCTATACTGGCATTAGGGTAACATCTAGATGATGCCAAAACATGAAATTGACGACAGGTAGCATAATCTCTTCGTTCATTTGCATTTGGAATATGATTTAACTGCTGAAAATGATGAAGTTACAGACAACACAGAAATTATTTCCTCCATAGCAAGGCGATAAAATACTAAACTTGGAACTTGGCCATTTCAGAGACAATCGGAAAGTGCCTTTAGCACATAAATGATAGAAATATGGAACTCACTCCCAAAATGGCTGTGCGTACTGGGACAACAGAGGCTTTGAAATCTGAGTGTGATAGATTGCTGTTCGGTAAGGGAATAAGAGATTATGAATCGAAGATGGGTAAACTGCATTGAGGCGGAAATTAATCTCAATCTAATTGAATGTCAGAATGGATTCAAGGGATTTAGTGGCTGTTTCGTTTTGCAAAGAACAAAGGGAATGCCAACCACTTCTGGACATTGTTTGGAAACCATTGGACTTTGGCCGAAAACTAGGGACATGATTTATTCATTGAGGGGACGTGAGCATCCCTGGCTGAGCCAGTATTTATTGCCCATCCCTAGCTGCCTTTGATACGGTGATGGTGGTGAGCTGCCTTCTTGAACCGCTGCAGTACATATGCTCTAGGTAGACCCACAAGCCATAAGGGAGGGAATTCCAGGATTTTGACCCACTGACACAGAATGAGGAAGTGGCAAAGGTTACTCCACCTTCAGAAAAATAAAAAGAAACAACAGATCAACGGTCACATTATAGTTCTTTAAGCTCTCCTTCCACCATGTTTGTTTGACAAAGCAGTCATGGGCTATTGGGCAGAAGGGGTTCTGAGACAGGAAAGTGGATTGAAGCCCACAGCCAAGATAGTCATGGTCTTACTAAATGGTGGAGCAGGCCCGAGGGGCCAAATGGCCTACTCCTGCTTCTATGTCCTGTGTTCCTACATAACAGGAGACAGTGAATTAAAGAATTATGAGGAAAATAGATGGCACATGTTCAAAGGACATGTAAGCTAACCAAAGGCAGTGAGTACGGTTTCAGAAGAGAGAGGCCTCCTCCAGTGATCCCCAGCATTACAGGTACAAGTCTTCAGCCAATTCGATTCACTCCACGTGATATCGACAAACAGTCGGAGGTACTGGATAATGCAAAGGCATTGGGCCCTGACAACATTCCAATAATAGTACTGAAGACTTGTGCTCCAGAACTTGCTGCTCCCCTAGCTAATCTTTTCCAGTACAGCTACAACACTGGTATCTACCCAACAATGTAGAAAGTTGACTAGGCATGTCCTGTATGTAAAAAGCAGGACAAATCCAACCCGGCCAATTACTGCCCCATTAGTCTACTCTCCATCATCAGGAAAGTGATGGAAGGTATCATTAAGAGTGCTATCAAGCAGCACCTGCTCAGAAATAACCTGCTCAGTGACGCCCAATTTGGGTTCTGCCGGAGCCACTCAGCTCCTGGCCTCATTACAGCCTTGGTTCAAACATGGACAAAAGAGCTGAATTCCAGAGGTGAGGTGCGAGTGACAGTCCTTGATATCAAGGCTGCATTCGACCATGTGTGGCATCAAGGAGCCCAGCAAAACTGGAATCAATGGGTATCAGGAGGAAAATGCTCCGGTGGTTGGAGACATCGGTGATACATAGGAAGATGGTCGTGGTTGTTGGAGGTCAATTATCTCAGCTCCAGGACATCTCTGCAGCAATTCCTCAGGGTAGTGTCCTCGGCCCAACCAACTTCAGCTGCTTCATCAATGACCTTCCCTCCATCATAAGGTCAGAAGTGGGGATGTTCGCCAATGATTGCACAATGTTCAGCACCATTCATGATTCCTCAGATACTGAAGCAGTCCATGTTCAAATGTAGCAAGATCGGGACAATATCCAGGCTTGGGCTGACAAGTGGCAAGTGACATTCGTGCCACACAAATGCCAGGCAATGACCATCACCAGTAAGAGACAATCTAACCACTGTCCCATGACATTCAATGGTGTTATCATCACTGAATGGCTCCGTTATTAACATGTTGGGGATTATCATTTACCAGAAACTCAGCTGGACTCACCACATAAACACAGTGGCTACAAGAGCAGGCCAGAAGCCAGGAATACTGTGGTGAGTAACTCATCTCCTGACTCCCCAGAGCCTGTCCACCATCTGCAAGGCACAAGTTCAAAGTGTGATGGAATACTCAACAAATGCTTGGAAGAGTGTAGCTCCCAACCACACTCCAGGACAAAACAGCCCATTTGATTGGCACCGCATCCACAAGCATCCACACCCTCCTCCACCGACGCTCAGTGGCTGCCGTGTGTTCTATATACAAGATGCACTGCAGAAATTCACCAAAGATTCTTAGACAGCACCTTCCAAGCCCACAACTACTTCCAACTAGAAGGGCAAGGGCAGCAGATACCTGTGAAAACCACCAGCTGTAAACTCCCCTCCAAGTCACTCACCATCCTGACTTGGAAACATATCACCGTTCCTTCACTTTTGCTGTGTCAAAAATCCTGGAATTCTCTAAGGGCATTGTCGGTCAACCCCCAGCACATGGATTGAAGCAGTTCAAGAGGGCAGGTCACCTCCACCTTAACGATGGCAGCTAGGAACAGGTAATAAATGCTAGCCAGCCAAAGATGCCCACGTTTGATAAGTGAATAAGGAAAGGTCCTGTGTGACCTGTGGCTCAGTGGTTAGCGCTGCTGCCTCACAATGCCAGGGACCTGGGTTCGATTCCACCCTCAGGCAACCGTCTGTGTGGAGTTTGCACGTTCTCCCCGTGTCTGTGTGGGTGTGCTCCAGTTTCCTCCCACAATGCAAAGATGTGCAGGTTAGGGTGGATTGGCTGTGCTAAATTACCCATTGTGTTCAGGGATGTGTCGATTAGGGGGATAGGTCTGGGTGGGATGCTCTGTGTATTGGTATGGATTTGTTGGGCTGAAGGCCTGTTTCCACACTGTAAGGACTCTATGAAGTGAGAGACCTGGTAGATAGTATGGAGAGAACAAGGCATTTAGTGTGGTCCCACATAAGAAGCGAATGCTTGAGATCCAACAGCCATACAATAGGGGTGTGGATGGCCAAGTGGTATTATTGTTGAACTGCTAATCTAGAGACCCAGCTAAGGTACTGGGGA